CCACTTGTATGCACTGAACGTACAAGAACTAATCCCAATAAAGATTAGATATCGTGCTCACAAAGAAATGCTCAAAATTTTAAAAAAGAACAAATTTGTTGAGTACTGTCATCAAATAAATAAAGCCAGTGAAGCAGGAATCTCTGTGCTGAGAGAGTAATGCTACAAATAAAATTATTTATACAGGCGTTAATCAATAAACCGTCAGTACAAAAGTCTTACAAGGAGCTAAGGATGAACAGAGTTATGTTAGACGTTGCAGTACAGATAAATACATCCTCAGAAAAACAGAACCCATCAAAAAACTGGCAGTCCTATCAACTGTGTGTTAAAATAACAGAAGGTAATACAGTCAGTCGAACCTGCCATGATGGCCACCTGTATAATACGGTCACCTGTACAAGTGGCCACTTTCCATTTTTCCCCCTTGCGTTTTTTCTATATAGTTTAAATGTGTAAAACGGTCACCTGACCAACGCAGCGGCGAACATCTTATTCTAACTATCCGTACGCCCTGGGGTCATTTTGTACCCCCAGGGTTGTATTCTTCACATTTTAGAATACCTCTAGTACGAAGATTTCTTTGAAACTTTCAGTATTTCTCGAACAATCATTTTGACAGACTGCTATGAAAAGCGTACAGACAAGATTAACGAGTAAATTTCCTCTTGGAGAGTGGTGACACACAGTTGCCTACATCGTATGGATACGATAGTAAAACATGACGTATGGAAAGGGTTAAGAATGCTGAGTACAAAACAAAAAAAAGTAATCACCAACACTTGCTTGCAATGAAAAAATAAATGAAAAAAAGAAAAGATAGCTGCAGTAGAATAATGAACAAACTATTCCATCCAGTAAGCGATTTATGTACACATTACTTTGGACCCCTAACATTGATCAAAAAAATACACAAGTAAACTAACTCAATCACTTCCAAATGCAAAACCACCAAAAACCTGGACATACCCCCCACCTTTAAAAAAAAGCATGACAATGGCTTTAGAACCTTCTGTTAAGTCTCCTTCACCAGGCAGAAGTTTTGAAAAAGACTGTATTAAAAGTTAGCCTAATGCACACAAAAAAAGTTCTGCTTCAAAATAGAAAAAATCAGAGAAGATAAAAATGCATCTTTCCACTTCTTAGCATTTTTTAATAATAGGCTCAATGATATTGATCCCAGCTACACGTCACTGTCACCACCCCTGATTGTATTCCAGCCCACATTTTGAGGTGCAGTCGCCCAATTTATCATGGAAGATGAGATAACAATGTTGAATTCCAAACTTTGAATCATAGCACTATAAAATTAAACCGATCCAAAACAGTGGTTGCTCAAGAGGGTAACAAAATACAATTATCTAACAATTAGCTCACTTTAAAAGTGTCCAGTATTAAGGAACTACACTTATACAGAACGGAAGCATAGATTATATGTGAGGCAGCGTGGTAGAATCAGGCTCTCGTCAAAATAATCAAAATGAAGAAACCTGCATTTTTCTGCAGGTTTGTGGATTTTTATCAAATATTTGTTTTTTGGCTCAAAACCTTTCATGCCCATAAAATAACTCATTTCTGTGTGGATTTTTCTGAAAAACGTTGATTAAAGGCACAAAAATGTAAATTTTCAGTTACCAAGGACTTTTAAGCTAAAGAAATAACTAATCTTTGGAGGCCATTTTGTCACTAATTTTGCTTCTGCACATAGGTGACCCCCACCTCCTTCATTCACAAATATCTCGGCTGTATTCAAGATAAATGGATGTTTTTTTTCATCCAAAGAAGGACAATTGAACAAGCTTTAAGATGATACCAATAACTCGACATGCCCAAAAATTGACGAGAGCCTGATTCCACCACGCTGCCTCACATATTATGATTTAAAAGTAAGAGCAAAAAAAATAAGGAAATTGAATTATCAACTTTTCCTTTAGTTACGACACTAATATACGTCTAGTGACACTTAACAACATCAACTGAGCAGTACATCTGCACATTCTGCTTTTTACCCATGCTAAACTGGGTATGCAATAAAGGACAGAAAAGCTAAATTACAAAATGTGAAAAAAGAAGTTGAAAGTAACAGAAACTGTCAATAGCGGGGATAGAATCAAACTATGCCCTTCTAAAATTATTGTGAGAATAATGTGCTTGTGTTAAAACATATCATGAATGCCATTTGAATAGTAAATAAGTATATTTCTTCTAAGACAAAAAAGACATGATGTTAAGGATAGTGTTCACAGCCATCCGGCATGCTGTGAAAATGTATGTTAACATTTGGCTTGATAAACTCTGCTTTAAAATATACCCACTTCACAAGAAGAGCCATAAGCACCAGTCATATCATATTACTTGTTAAAAAATAACAATGAAAGTATGTCAGCAACTGACAGACATACGTTTCTGCTGAACGTGTAATGATAAGTGAATGGAATCAGATACTAAAATAAAAATTAATATCAAAATTTCACAAAATAAAAAAAACATTTCTAATTTTAAAATACAGCTACCATGCATTTGCAGCATGTAGTGACAGAAGTATGGACATTTGAAAATAAATAAATAACTTCTACATTGCCCACATTCATTTTTGGCGAACATGTCTAAGGGAGTGTACTTAACATAAAATGTGGTAACAGTAGTGCTTCAGTAAAATACCCTGTTTTTGCAAAATATTCACTAGCAAAATAAAAGGAAGGAATAAAATTTCCATCATCAAAACATTATTTTCTTATTAGCTTGAAACAATTCGCGAGCAAATATGGTTACCAGATTTGTGTTTCCCTCTGATATTAACTCTTTATCTCCGGCAAGCCACTCCCAGCGGCTTGCGATCGAAACCACTGTGTTGGTGAACTGCTGGCAGCGGCTCGGGCACATTCCTTTACAACGACTTTGACATCAATTTTTTTTTTTCAAACAGGTCTCTTTTCTTCTGAGTTCATTCGTTAGATGAAGAACTATCAGAATAGGTTCACGTGTTTCGATTTGATGACCTATTTAGTGACTTTTTTGTTATTTTTAGATTTAGTACCAAAAAAGTGGCCCGGCATAGTGGGTTTACCCCCCCCCCACAGCAGACAAAGAGTTAATAAAAACAACAGTTTTCTGAACTATATCATGCTAGGTCAAGTACATTTTGTGATCCTTGTACCTGCACAGGGGAAGTAATAGTGAGTGTGCCCTTTAACTTAAGTAACTAATCAGAGACTACATGTACTATAAGTGAAAAAACCAACTGATAGAAAGTTTCTTGTTTCACTTTTCTATCAAACATAACAATTTGCACCGCGTCAGTACATTTTTACGTAACCTACAAATCGGCACCAGTCAGGACACAGGACCCAAAAAAAACTGACAGAAAGTTATCACGCGAGCAAAAAAAGACCCCCCAAAAAAAAAATCACAAAGAGCACCACATCCAGCACCAAACAGTGGCTTCTGTCTCAAAGTCAGAGAAATATGAATGAGAACTCTGCATCAAACATTTCACAAAACTTTCTTTTTTTTGACATTATCTAAAACACAGGTTTCTTACTCTACAACTCCAATCCATCAGCCAGACCTGACCAGTCAGTAGAAATACTCCGTTCACAAAAACTGGAAATATGAGTGTGTGCCTAAAGAAAGGTACAAATTTCGCCACAGACCATTTTGAGGAACAGGCTGATTATGACAAAAAATCCCTTTTTTGACCAAAATGTGTTTCAATTTTTTTTAAAAAGATAGTTCCATCATTTTTTAACAATGTGTTTAAAGGGTTTTCATTTATTTCACTTTTAAATATTTTATTTAAAATAATTTTTGAGACTTGGGTATTTGTATTAAGATATAACCAAAACTGCTTTTGGAAGGTGTTAAAATCTATTCTTGAAACATGTATTCTCTTCCCCGCGATGTTTTACCATTGAATTCTAATCATGATATTGATGTCAACTGAATGCCAAATTGGAAATGAATTTTCCATGAAAAAAATGCATTAGAAACAATTGAATCATTGTTTTTTTCAAGTTTGTAAGTGTCATAAACTTAAAAGCTAATTTTCTCAAAAATAGATCTTTATACCCTACCTCTCAAAATGTGCAATATCTCAAAAACTACTTAAGATATCTCAAAAATTTTAAAAACCACTGTGTTCAGCATTGACTTTTCTATAAGGTGCAAACCTTATGGTCAAAATCCGACTTTTTGTACCTTTCTTTAGGCACACACACACATATTTACCAATGCCTTTCAACACACTTTTCTGTAAAATGTCCTTTGCTATGAACTCGTATGGCATGGCCTCTTCTTACAAGTCACTTTTTTCTTCAGCATAGAATAACACTGATTCACCACACTAATCCAACACAAATAGCTATCAAAGTTAGTTGATATTTTTGTTTAAGTCACGACCACTTCAATAAGGAAAAGTTGAAGGATATATGTTTCTGACACCTGGACACCCACACACACACATACACACACCCACATACACACACACACATACACAAAACAAAACAAAAAAACAAAGTAAGATCAAGTACACTCCACATTGCTCACAACCAGCTTCAAAGACACTCATTGTCATAAGATCTACACGTATATTTGTAAATGCCACACAAGCTATACCCATATCAACGTCACAATGAAAATATTTTCGGCACCAGTTTCATGAGCATGAACGTGTAAAAACAGTTACGAGTATGAGTGAACAAAGTTGATATATCACATTAAACAGTGAAATCCTGCAAAGTGGCAGCAACTTCACCTCCCCCCCCCCCAACCCCCCCCCCCCCAAAAAAAAACCCCCAACAAAACAAACCTTCATAGACTTCATAGACACAAAGTGTTGAAGCAGTGCCTTGTGTGAGCAGAAATTGGTGTTATACTATTAGATACAAATACTATACAGCATACAAACAAACAAACAAACACACAAACAAACAAACACACAAAATGCCACGGGCATCACCTTCCATGAAACATGAAAAACTTGTACATTAGCATGTTAAATATTCTTTTCTTTCAACTGTAAAAAATATCACCACAAAATGCAAGGAATTCTGTTAAAAAAAAAAATTATTTTAAAAAACTCTCTCCAACAGAGGCAATTTATCTCTTTACCCTGTGACATTTTCCCAAAAGAATATCATACTTCTTTAGAGCACAGTGAAACAGGGCACGTCCAAATGCAATACGACAAAACAATAAATCAGTTTTGAGGAACTTCAGATTACAAAACAGCACATCATTTTTCTTCAGTTCAGACTACCATTGCCTTCATTCATTCTCAGATCAGGCTTTGAAAGTTTTTGCACAAGAACAAAGCAGAATCTCACATTCTTTGTCATCTCAGTTTTTGTTCCATTATGAAGCCAGAAGAATTGACCAAACCATGAGCATTTTAGAATACCACTGTAAATACATGTACATACAAATGACATCTCCACACCCGTACATTTTTTTCCTTTGTACTGCAGATTCGAAAAGTCCACCCACTGTAAAAAGATATTCATTGTACCTGCTGTTGCCCCAATTTTTTTTTTTTTATTCCATAAAGTAGACAAACAAAAATTTAACATTTAACGTATTGTAATGACACTGTCCATGATTTCGTCCAGTCTAAGACAACCGCTTTTTTCCTCGACAATGGGTGACCATCGTGGACATTTTCAAGTGTACTTCATTTCTTTGCACACCAAAGCCTTTGGACATCCATACATACATTCATACATTACATATAAAACATCATTGATGCTCATGGAGGGAAATAAAAGATACAATGGTGAAGTCGAAACTACATTATATAGTTTCCTGTATATCTAAAGTGTTCACTGGTAACCTACCACTGGCAGTGCTCTCCTGAGACACTTTCCGCTCCGCTGGTTTCACTTCCGCTTCTGGCGATCTACTGACGAGCTGAGCGACACTGGGATCAGGTGAGAGGCCGCTCGCGAACAGACCTGGGATCGGGTCTGCAGAATGGGAGCATAGAATCTGTTGAGCCGAGCCGGAACCATCCGGTGTTCTCAGGCCTGGTGGAGTTAACCGCGCTGTGCTTATAACACTCGTCTCACTCCCTCCTTGTCCAGGTCTAGAGCAAGGTTGGAGCGACGGAGAAGAGCCTTGCCGGGACGGGGCGCTACTGTTATCACAAGTCTGCACCACCAAACTGTTGTTGGACCGCACTTGGGCCCCCTGGTGGGTCTGACTCAAGCCACCGCTGCTGGAAGGTGTGTTGAAAGAAGCGACAGGAGTGCCTTGAGTGTGCTGAGGAGAGAAGTTATAGGGGACGCCTTGGCGCAGCATGCTGACCGAGGACATGGAGTGCGATCGTGTGGGCACCAGGCTGGTCCCGTTGAGGAGGCCGCACGACTGTTCAGAGCTAGCACTGCCGTTTGCCGTATTGGTGAGGGTGGGCATCATTTCCTCGATGATGGAGGAGGTGTTGTATACCTGAGCGCACACTTCTCCCGACTCACTCAGCAGGCAGGTGTATGACGGGATGGACGAGAACGACCTCCTCGACCACGGAGTGGATGAAGTTTGAGCGGTCATGGTCGTCATCCCTGCGTTTGTTTCAGGGCTCGTCACAGAGCCGTCCACAACCTCCGTGTGGCTGCCCACGCTGGCCGGTGCGCCCCCTTTGCTACCAACTCCATTACTCTGCAGTCCAGTCTCGGGGTTTAGAGACTCGGAAGTAGACGGCAACACTTGTGACAGAGATGATGAAGGTGGAGGATGCAATGGCGGAGCTTTGTCTTTGATTTCAATCAACGTCAATGGTGGGTTTCTGTCATGGTGACAGGCGGTGAGGGCGCTGCTAGGACACAGCGTGTTGGACGACCTACGGGGGGCCACTCGTCCATCAGACGATTGCTGAGCGTTTTGTACAAAATTGTGGTCATTCTGGAAAAAACCTTTGGCCGGATGTCCAGGCCGGCGTGGTATTGGGGACGTGTCCATCTGAGAAGAACACCGCCGGGAGATGGTGTTGGCTAAGCTGGTCTCGCTACCGAAGGAAACAACTCCGCCACACGTTTCTTCGTAGCTAGGTGGCGCTTCGTTCCTGTCGTCGTGGCTGATGAAGCTGGGGCAGTTGCTGCTGCAGCTCATCTGAGCAACATCTGTGTACGACGGAGGGGCCAGATCATCTGTGTTTCTGTAACAATATTCATGTTTCCTTTTGAAAATAAAGAACATACTCCTACACAAAAATTAGCTATTGTAACTCAGATATCGTTGGGTTAAAACTCATAAAATTTTCACGAAACTTAACTGTGTTTCTGTGAAAGTAATCATGTTCCCTATTTAAAACATTGAACATACTCCAACGTCACAAAAGTTATTATTACTCAGGTATCAAATGGTCAAGATTTTTAACCCTTTCTGTGCTGAGGCATTTCAATTTACATTTGTACAAATGAGATAAAATGCTCATTCAAGAGAGATTCAAACAAACCCATAATAGTGTTTCCTCTTCTTAAGTATTAGCAGGGGATCAAGGACTGGTGATGGGTCTCATTTAAATATTGAGAAATGCCTAAGCGTCTCAAACAGCTTCTCCCAATCCAGCCAATCGTACCTGCCCTTGGTGGTCCCTGTTTGCACTGACACGGCTCTGGCGAATGGCGAGTTGTTGGCGCCAACAAACCAACCACCCCCCTCCCCCCAGAGGGGTTAAAACAACAGGATGGGAGCAGGTGTGGCCCCCACAAGGCGCAGGAGGCAGAACCCACCGATGTGTGGTAGACGCTATGCTCCTCACTAACACACCCCTACTCTCCCTTGAGTGGGTGTCTAATCTGCCTAACACATCTACAGCTTTTTATCAACACACCCTCTGTGGCTGAGAAGGTACCAGCCAGTTTGAGAGTGTCTGGGTGCAGGGGATGGACCAAGCAGAATGCCTGACTTGCTTTCTGACCACTGACCTCCTAGTAAAGGCACAACGACCCAGGATGTGACGATCCAATGGCTTTTCCACTTGGCCGATACCTCATGAAAGATTAAAAAACTTTAGCCAGTAGCCATTGGTGGCGGGGAATGGGCAACGTGAACCCTACCGGAATTACACGGTCACAGGGCAGTTAAATCTTTCCAGTCTCTTGAAAACCCCTTGTACCCTCCTATCCTCAATATGAATGGCCTCTTCTCGGGGTGGGCAGGCAGTCCACAGACACCCCAGTCCACAGTCCACAATAAGTATTAGTAACTTCACAATTACAAATACAGTAAATCTAACAAACCCTCAATAAACCAGAAGAATTAATGGCACTAAACCAGTCTGGGAGATTACACGTGAACATGAAACATCTACACAGGAGTAAAGAGGTTAAGGCTTCAGAATAAGTAAGTCAGCAGTATTTCTCAGGAGTGTTGTTGTGTTTATGAAAGTCCTTTAACCCTTTCACCCAACAGGATCAGTCCTGACGTCTTCCCTGAATTCTTAGAACAGAGGAAATAATCCAATAAACTATCATGTTTTAAAAGATGCTCTTTTTTTTTAATTGCTAAGAGAACATTCTGGGGGGGGGGGGGGGAAGGAAACAAAGTCAGTATTGTCAGAAAAAGAAAAAAAGGAGACTGTTTCACAATTTAAAGAAAAGAAAGGAAAAAAGAAAGAAAGAAAGAAAAAGAAAGAAGGAAAAAGAAAGAAGGACAGATAGAGAGAGAAGGGACAGAGAGCAAGAGAGGGGAGGGGGGAGGGGGTCATGCTGCTATAACATTATGTATGTTTGTGTCACAGAGCTTGGTCAAAGTAAACTGTTAATTTCTTTCAATGGACGATCAATAAAACATAATGATATATGATTTTATCTCACAAAGAAGCAGTAGGACAGAAAACAAGCACACCACACAGAAAGGAAGCCAAACATTCTTGCACTGCACCTGAGAATTTCATTGTTGGCTCCGACACTATCCCATGTTTCCATGACGATGGTCGCTGCACCATTGCCGTCATCATGGTCGACAACAACAGCAGTGACGCCTCCATTTGCCACCTCAGACTGCACAATAGCGGATGAGAATCCAGGTGAGAACATTCATCAATATCAAAGAGCAATAAGAGAAGACCATCTACAACATACAGTGAAAACACAAAATCCGACAGTGCGCTACCTCAGAATTACAAAGTTCTAGCTGACATTTTTCACTGTTTTGATTTACTACGGCCATGAGATCAGAAAGTAAATGTGAGGCAGCGTGGTGGAATCAGGCTCTCGTCAAAATAATCAATTGACGAAACTTGCATTTTTCTGCAGGTTTGTGAATTTTTATAAAATTTTTGTTTTTTGGCTCAACACCTTTCATGACTATTAAAGAAATCATTTCGCTGTGGATTTTTCTTAAAAACGTTGATTAAAAGCACAAAAAATGTAAATTTTCAGTTACCACGGACTCTTAAGCTAAGGAAATAACTAATCTTTGGCGGCCATTTTTTCACTAACTTTACCTCTGAAAACAGGTGACCCCCACCCCCTTCTTTCGCAAATATCTCCACTAGTATTCAAGATAAATGAATTTTTTTCCATCCTAATAAAAACAAATGAACAAACTTTAAGATGATATCAATAACTCTACATGCCCAAAATTTGACGAGAGCCCGATTCCACCACGCTGCCTCACAAATGTTCTATCTGCTCTATCAAAATCGTAAGATTATTCTGAGTCGTTATCAAGATATTCAAAGAATTGCATTAAAAAAAGCCAAGACATATTCTGAGGCGCAAAATGTTTTACGTCAAATTTCTCAAAACTAGGTACTGAGCAAACAGAACTTTGTATTTCTACGGTAGAGAGTAGAATACAACTTCACTCATTTTTTAAAATATGAAGGTGTTTTTACATCCTTATCAACACACTACAACTTCATAAAATAATACATCAAAGCAGAGACAGGGGAAGATGGAAGCCTGTTGTAGCAAGAAGTGAGGCACTAACAGACAAACACAGCCATGATGATAGGTGATAAGTGACAAAAACAAAACAACTCAGAAAAAAACAAATCGCATACACAGTGTAAAAAAATGGATTACATAAGAGCCCAACCAGGTTTTCTATCACCATCAGATGTGCAGTCTGAATCTAAATTTTTATATCTCAAACCTACTAATGAGGGTTGCTGGCAGGCACTATTGTGTGGTTTGCTCCTTTTTTCCTATCAAATATTTATCGCCCTAATCTCTCCATTCTTTTCTTTGGATATTACTCTCTAGTAACACCTCTAATCGTCAGCACTCAAATATGACCTATTTAAATTAATAGAAACTACGAACACACAGACATGAGTGACTAGGAAAAGCCAAGGATGGGTCATATATAGGCTCAGGTATGCTGTGAGTTAATCAGTGATGTGGTTTTACCTGAGCTGTATTTCCCGTTCTCCTGTTCCGTTTCCGAGCCAACATGAACTGCTTACATGACAGCAGCAGCATCAACAAGGCTAAGGCGATAAGGAGTGGGCCGGTCATTGAAATCTTCCCACCAAACACATCATTAAAACCTGAAAGATTGAGACAAAATTTAAGGAAATTTCTCCTGTCTGGATCTTTCATGACATGAATATTATGTAGAAATAAGTAGCTTGATTCGAAGTCAAGTCCAAGATATAAATTTTCAGTTTGCCAAAGCTTAAAATCTTAAAAGATCCAAGCATCTAACATCTACCCCGAGTACAACACTGAGCGTGCAATGTGCAATGTTGTTATGGAAACAACATTGTCTGAACTCAAGCATATTAACAAATATACAGTAGAATTTTTGCTCTAACGATCATCTGTCTAAGAGAATCACCTGTACAAACAACCACTCCCAACTTCCCCCTATGCATTTTTATAAATCACATTGACACTGTCCAAGAGGACCACCTATTCAAGATGACCACTTTTCTCCTCAATGCTGTGTAGTCATCTTGGACAGGTTTGACTGTATGTACCCGTAAGACGCAAAGAAATTTACTGTAAATTCTAATAAGTAGGCCTACCTGAAAGTATTTCGAGACCTCTAATTATATAAAAATCTTTTCCCATCATTTCTCTTTTCAAAAAGAGGGAAGCAATTTACAATGATACAAAAATTAACGTATCTCTCTTTTAGACAATTCACAATAATACAAACAAAAAAACACAACAATATATTGGCTTTTAGTTAGGATTTTTAGCTTGAAGAAAATGAACGTGTATGGATGAAAAAGACGAACCCAGCCAAGTGAGTATTGCCCCAACAAGCAGCAAAATGCTGGCCACACTGCAGAAGAGAATGCCACGTCGCAGTGGCTCCCTCGAGTCTGGTGGACTGAACGATGACGAAGGAAAGAAGGTCCGTAAAGCTGACCGCTGCCGGTAGCGGCTGGGCATGTGGATGTGGGAGGAATGAAACATCTTGCCTCCGTGACACAAGCGGTTGCCTCAATCCCAAAGAGTTTCTTCCTCAACTGAAAAATAAAAATCATTACACCTTACGAACAAGACTGCACAATTATGATATAACAAAATCCTATTACTGGAAAAATCTAAAAACAGTTCCTGTGTTCAAAAAGTAAAATATAAGAATCATCTGTAGTATTTCAAAAACAGCTTTACAGACAAAAAAAGAACATTTTTTTCCTTTTTATTTTCAATTCCTTCAAGCGTCTCCAGCAAAGTTTAGATATTTATAGAAAACCATTTATTTGCATTTTGATAGACCTTTATAAAATACGATTTCTGATACTTAAATACTCATCAAAACTTCAGTGCATCAGTTATACAAGCATGACAAAGTTTATATCCCATCATATTCATGTGTTTACTAATAATACCCCAAGTTGACAGACTGTATTCCATTTCCCATATATATTTAAAACAAAAATGGAGCGAAAAGAGAACTGAACTGGGACAGCTCCTCATTTTTTAAATTAAAGTGCTTTTTTACGGATCAACTTTCACATAATTCTTTAGGATGTGAGTATGTTGCTGACAATTTCAGTCATGCTTACCAACCAGTGCAAACAAACAACTGGAAACTGCTTGTGGTTCCAATGAATTTAAAAGGGTAACTAGTTAGATTTTATAATGCACTGAGAAATCCGACAAATATCTAACTAGGTCTACTAACTAGTCTAGACACAACTGCGAAGGAAGATGTCTCAAAAAATTATCTAGATGTTAACAGCAAAAAAGTAGGGCCTATTTCTTCGTTCCTTGTATCAATCTTTAACCTCTTTGATTCCTTTTACAGGAGAAAGTTACTCATAAATCAGCTGAGCATGGAGGGCATTCCATTCCACACTGACAGTACTCAGTACAGGACTAGAAAGAGAGAAAAATCGCGTAATTAATGGAGGAGGACTAAACCAAAAACATAATCATAAATATATTCGACACTAAGATCAAAGACACAAAATATTTTGCAGTACAGTATCTTGATTTAAAATTGAACTTTAGTAACATTAAGTACCAGAAACTAAATTTTCAAAGTAGCTGTGTATGCCAAATTTATCTGTTCCATTTGAAAGGCCTATCCACTGAGCATTTTGGTACCATTCTTTAAACTCTCAGTCAATTTTTAAGAAAACGGTAGTTGTTTGAAATTTGATCAAATTTGTTAATGTCAGTCACTGGCTGAAACCCCATGTTTGACAGACAATAAACGAGTAAAAAGTGCACTAAACATCTCCACATTAACAGAGTACAATCACTATAACAAATATATAGAGCCTAAAATTTTTCAAAGCTGTGAGATCATTACAAATCAGTATTTTATCCCCCCGAAAATGGTGATCTGTCGGTATTTCGACAAAAACACTGATCGTTGACCCGGTCGGCGCCGCACCGGCCCCCGCGTCGAGCGAGTCAGCTCTATACACTGTAGTGTACCACGTATGGGGGGGTCACATGCTTTCCGTGTCTTACCTGATTACTTTATTCTAATAGGAAAAAAATTAATCTTCTAATTGATTATATCTTTTTTGAGCCGGTATTTTACATATTTCATGTAAAAAAATGATCTTAAAAAATGTTGACGATATTTTAAAAGATTTTTCTATTCAAACGCCAACAGTCAAAAATATACCAGGGAAAAGCCCATTTAAAGCGCTACAGTTCTCCGCCAATGAAAAGACGATATTTAATCATCCCTTTTTCCGCAAAGCATTTGAATGCACGCGTGTCAATTTTTGAACCGGCCGACCACGCATTCCGACCGCGAGGGGCTTCAAAATCCTCGGCGATTCTCCAGCTCCTAATAATTGGACATACAACTTACACCATTGTAACGAGGAAAAGCTGAACTTTTACAAGGCTCACCGATACCATGTGGTCGGAAGGCACGAGTGCCCGTGAGGCCGTGTTTACGCTACCTAGTAACATGAGTCTCCTACAAAAAAGTTCAGAAGACTTCAATTGACTTCTAGACCTAACCATTGTGCATCATGCGAGGATTTTTTTTAGGCTATTTCTCCAAATGCTCGGGAAAATTTATATAAACTTGAACTCTATTTCTCCGAATGGTTTCCATTCTCGAGATTTGTTGATACATTTTGTAATTTGCGAATGGAATGGCCCGAGCGTGCGTGCGTGTGTGTGTGTGTGAGTGTGTGTGTTTGTGTGTGTGTGTGTGTGAGTGTGTAAGGTGTGAACGGGGCGGGGGGGTGCACGTGAAGGGATTTCATTGGGGGGGAGGGGGTTACATATGGAGGATTTTAGTTTTCGCTTTAGGTGTGACTAATGCAAAATAGGTTACTGCCAAAGTTCAGCTCTTGTTTTCTCGCAGTACCTTTTGATGGCATTTTCAAATGAAGTAGTCCCGGAACGTTGCCCCAACCACAACTGAAGTAGGCCTTCTATCTGAATATTCAGACATTTAAATCTCTAGCTCTAGAAGCTAACTTCGATACAAAATATGCTTCCTCCCAGTCCTCGCAGAATGGCAGAATGAAGGATGACACCTAAATCTCACTATAACTAAAAAATCTCGAGAACGGAAACCGTTTGGAGAAATAGAGATCAAGGTTATAAATATTTTCCCGAGCGTTCAGAGAAATAGTCACTTTGGTTTTTTTAAATTTCATTGCCACTATCGATATTTTTTGCTTTAAAAGACAAGTTGAAATTTATAACTCACAAAAGAAATCACACCTAAAAAATGGACATTTCTGTTGCAATAAAATTTAAGGATCGGTTTCAGTATTAGTGAAACTGAAAGCTAAAAAGGCTCTTCTTAACACCTGACTGTGATCATGATCAAAGTTGTGAAACCCCTGCCCCTCTATACTATATATATATATATATAGATTATATTCATACACATAATAAACAAACAGAAATTTATGACTGAATACTTGTGTACAGTAAGAGTAAAAGTAGCCTAATTAAATGACAATAAAACCATCTCCGACCAGACTTAATCATACTTAATGACATCATGTCATCATAGTGTAAAGTAGATCTAGGTAATTTAAAAAAGATGTTGCGAGGAAATTTGACAGCACGTCATGATGGAGAAAAGCAGCACCTAGATCTGACTCGAACTCATTTAATAGAAGGCCAAATATCACTATCTTAGACTTAGATTATAATAATAATAAAGAAGTACACTGCTCGGCTTATATAAAAATAAAGTGTCTAGATCTACCAAACAAATAAAAACAAGTTGGCCAGGCCAATTCGGTGTTTTGGGAGAGGAGAGTTGAGAGAGGGAGGCTTATATCTCCTGAAACTAACTCCTGAGAAAACAGACAGGGCTCTGGTGAAATTAGAGCTAAGAATAGATCTAGAATCTAGATCTATTTCTAGATTCTAGATTTAGATCTAAATCTAGACATTATCTTCTTAGACAAAACTTATGTTGTTCTGTTTACAAACCTGTAGATCTAGATATAGTTGCACTTGTCATTACTGCTAGTCACGGCTAGATCTTTCATCTAGCCTAGTGCTAGCCTTCATTGTCAAAAAGAAGCAATTTCAATCAAAGGACTGGACTACAGAGACCGAGACGGCACAAGCCGACCGTCTCGTTCGACTCCGTCTGATAACCATCATTCACTTCTCAGGGTAAACTATCACTACATTCATTCCACAAAAACGTAGCTAAAGTAACATGGTGAAATTAAAGTGATTATTCAGACATTTATAAATAGATTATCAAAATAAGTGAATGAGTTCAAGTGTTTACTTTGACCGAATAGAAAACATTAAATTATGCAAGTTTGATCAGAGTTCTCTCCCTTCGGACAGTGTCTCTTTGTACTCAAGTTTCGCCGTTTCTTCCGTTTTGATTACTGAATACACGTAGCCTAACACAAGCACACAAGCAACGCTCGGGTTTATTCATTTTAAAAATAATTTTGAATAAGCTTATAACCGGTTGCCTTGAAAGAAAAATACAAATGAATCGTTTGTAACGGTCACTGTTCTTGGGGTAGTCTCCCAATTTTTTTTTCCACAGTTATATTAATTAAAGCCTGAGCCTGAATGATTATTTTGAGTATCAGTAGGCCTACCTGTACAATATCATAATAAATTACAGGCTTTAGCTTTTTATGTTTGTGTGCGTGGTTTGGGAGGTGGGGGACTTTTTAAAAAAATGAAAGCTACTGCTGGAGAAAAAGACTGAAAGAATATTATTGCCCTCAGCTTCTTCACCTTTTCTTCACGTTCTTTTTCCTTACCAACACCACCCCCCCCCCCCCCCCCCTTTTTTTTTCCCCCTTCTCTCTCTCTCTCTCTCTAACACACACACACACACAGACACACACACACACACACTCACACACACACTTTCTCAGCAAAAAAGGGAGAGCGGATAATTGATAGAAAAGTCGCAAAAGAGGGCGAATGCCAGGGGGGGCTTTTAAACAGCGAACAAGCTGCAAGGGAAACAACTGCAATTATTTGTGTTAATATAAAGAAATACTAGTCGAGTAGCTTCCCTTCGAAAACTTATTTTTGTGGGAGAGTTTTTGTTTTCGGGTTGGTTTGTTTTTTTACTTCCCCTCGGAGTAGACTACATAAAAAAAAAGAAGAAAAATACATTCTAATTATAATCTGAGACATCATCCCAGGGCAAATCTGTCGGTTTTGTTACTTTTTATTTTCACTTTTTCTTTCCTGTTGTCATCATCAATGCCTTTCACCCCTGGCAGGGTATAAGCCACATACAAGCTCCTTCCATTTATCTCTGTCCTGAGCCATCCTTCCAAGCTCGTTCCAAGTGAGCTTCATTTCTCTCATGTCCCTTTCCACACATCTCCTCCATGTTTCCCGTGGCCTACCCCTGCCTCGAGCTCCCTGTGGGTTCCACTGCAGTGACTGTCTTGTGATGTTTCCGCTGGGCTTTCTTAAGGTGTGTCCCATCCATCGCCACTTTCTTAGTCCTATTTCTACTTCTATATCCTTTTGCTTTCCTGTTGTACTGTGCAATTTTTCTGTCTAAGGCAAAACGGGTGGCTTGTGTTGTGGCATCGGTTGTTGAGTGGTTAGGTTACCTAACTCATAATATAATAGTGAGGTCATGGGTTCTGGCGTTCGAGGCTCAGGCTCGATGTTGTGTCCTTGGAAAATGCAGTTTACACTAATCTTCCTCTCTTCACCCAGGTGTGAATGAGTATCCAGCCATAGACGACAAAAGATCTCATCAGTATGTTAGTGTTTTCACCCCTGTAAAATTGCTGCTTGCAATGTATGCTTCCAAGGAAGTTGAGATAGTTTCAGAATGCTTTCAAGTCTGCTGAAGTAACAATACAAACTGTAAAGCGCATAGAGCTTGCTGCTGAGCAGGAATTTGCTATATACAAATGCTATTTATTACAGATATATTATTATTGGATTGCAAACAAAGCATAAGAACACAGCTATATAAATCAGTGCATAAAACCAAACAAAAAGACTTTGTTTTATAAAAGACAAATTTATTTGACTCTCAGTTATAATGTTACATTTTTTTTAAAGGCGATGGCCATATAAGTCCACTTCAAATTCGCATCAATACTATAAGGCATTTCTCAAACGTCAGTACACAAGGAATGTAAAAGACCCTCAGCTGTAAGCAGAAACATCAGCTGTTATCAAAGTAAAAAAAAAAATGCAGGTAAAAATATTTGTTTCAGTACATTAAATTCTAACGACAAATATATTCTTCCCATTGAAATTCATAATATACTGACAATAATTACAAAATGCAGGTTCAGCAGAAAGTCAAAATGATACTTTAATACTTACTAGGTATTGCATTCCACTGACTGTGAAAAGATTTTCCGGCATCCATATATGCTGCCTGAGAATATATCTTATTTAAGCTTACAGGCACTCATAAAAACTCTTTGACTTAACCGTAATCCACAATGGCAGACAAACCCTCAAATATTTGTATGATTTATAAACTTGAAACACACATTCATTCACCTTTCTAGAACCACAAAAAAATTAGAGGAATAGAGGAAGCTCATGGCAAAATCTTCTGAAGTGTATGTACAGACAGTTTAGTTTTAGTAAAGAGTTTTATGGCACTTGCAACACAATTAGGTCATCTAAGTGCAGAAGATTACTGCTGTTACTAGAAAAGCAACACAAAAAAAAAAAGGAGGAGAGATAAGGACAATAGATGTTTGATAGGAAAGAAGGAGCAAACCGCACCACAACACTCATACAAACAGCCCAGACATAGGTTATGTCAAGGTGAAAGACAGACAGTTCTCTTTTCACACTAAAAAGCCTGTCAGCTGTATATTGCATACATGTACAAGGTTATTTAATAAAAATATGAACGATATCACATCCAGAAAGTCTAGTAACCTTACAAGAGCAACACAGAGTTTCAAAAAAGTAATTTGTCATCATACAAAAACAGTTTTTCACTCTTAATTTATGGTACAGAAGGTCCCACTTATAACAGTTTCAGTTATAACAGGATTTCAGCTATAGCGGGCATAAAATAAATCCCAAAAACTGATCTCATATACAGTAGAGAAAACCGTTTTTTTTATAACAGACATTCGGACAGATATGATCCACTGCAACAGTGATCCAACTATTGGCATCCTAAAACAAACGGACAAGAAAGCAGAAAAAAGCAAAATGAAGCAAAACAGCTAACATTGATGACACATCGTACCTACACGACTCACAGAAGGCCTAAGTTGATTGTGTACCTATATGTTTTGATGTGTCATACTCTGTGTGCAGGGGAGGGAATGTGGGGTGGGGGGAGGGGGAACGCTAGATATACTTTGGTGTTGATGCAAATCATGTAAGTGACTTAACACGACCTTGGTCTAGCACATCGTTCACATTGTCTGCCCATAGGCTGGCGAGACTTGTTACAGGAATAAATGACTGAATGTAAAGTGGGCATTGGGCGCTACATCTGTTGCATACCTATGTATGCTCCTTTTCCCAAACATGGTAACTATTCTATTACAAATACTTGTAAAGTGCACAGAGCATGCTGTTGACTTTATAGAGCACTAATATAAGCCACGTGAGTACAAATGCAAGTATTATTATCATTTTTATTACCCGATCATTTCAAATGATCACAGGAAAAGAAACCAGAAATAACAGAGAGACTGGTTGAAGGCAATCTATGTAATAAAAGTGTTCCCATTGTTTAATCATTAGTTACAGTGTATGTGAACATGATCCCCGTCCATAACAGGGTTAAGCTATACAGAGACATCACATCAGTCCCAGCAGTCCTGTTACAGCCAGGGACCACTGTATAGGTCAAAGGAAAAAAAAATATAACTAATCAGACAATGACTTGAAATACTCAAGGGTATTAAAGAGGCTATCTGCCAAATGATTTTTTAAACACATAAACAATACATGTCAAAGGCACCGAGTTGATAATTTCACTTCAGCTGTAATGAAAACTTTATTTCTTCTGGTTGTCAACAGATTCTTTCAGCTAAAAAAAATATATAGTTACTACTTATTCCATAAACAATAAATATGCCTACAGCTGTCATAATGATTATTAGAAAGAACATCTTGGGCTTACTCAGTTCATAAAGAAACAGAGTTCAACAATCACCATGGTAAGTAATTGTGAAAACACGTTGCACTGTTTTGCACACCAGTCAGGTCTTCAAACCAGTACTTGAACTTGAAAAATTGTGATTAAATCCAAAATCTACTTATTTCACAAACTTAGAAACCTAACACAAATGACATGAAATGCACAGCAAGAGCCAGAAAAATATGAATTAAGTTACAGAGCTTGAAATGTTAAAATTTGCACAGAACGATATCATGAATCTACTCGAGATTGTTCCTAACTAATTATTAAAATGATATCAATGATGTGTTTGAAACTTTCAGATTTGCCACATAACTTGTTATGTTATGCTAGTATTACACTTTCACGCTAGTATGATGTTTCAAAAAAAAACTCTTAAGCCTCCAAAAGCTAAAGTGAGTACAATATAAATGCTTCAACACATTTTGTCATTCAAGTCTTTGACTTTTACCTTATTTTTCAACAAAATATAATGTCAGCTCTCATGATTCATAGAAATACATGTTTTTTCACCCTGCAGAAGCTTTTCGTTGGATACAAGATCACTCTCATGAGACTCCTTTAGAGGTGGTGAAAGATAAACAAGAAATAATCAAGAGAAAAAGTTCCACCAACAACCTTCCATAGAGTAGTTCCAAGAAGTTACTGATTTCTGTGAACCTGACCCTGACTACAAAAAGATGAAATACGGAAACTAAGCTAAAGGATCTGTTCCTTTGAAAAGTATCCGTGGGAACTTCCACACATCCGGGTGGCCAAGATGAGACATATAGTTGTAGTCTGACTTGCTCCACTGAAAGGGAGGCAAATCGTCGTAGGTGGGGCTACTGATGGCCAGGAATGACAAACTCTTGAACAGGTCATAACTGATCAGCTGGAAAATAGAAAGAAGAAAGGGCAAAGCATGAAGCATGAGAAAGTCTGAAAATTTTAAACGTGAAGATCAATGATCTTAAACATATTATCATACTGATCTTAAATAGGTACATCATACACAGAGTTTTATAAGAAACGGTTGAAAAATCTTGAAGGTCACATGTACACATTAAAGGTCCCTTGGTGGTTGAAAACTGAAGAAGAGTAAGGCCTTAGGCCACCACCCCAGCAAAATCCAACATTTCCCTACAATTTTAACGGACGCATCACACCTGCAAAATAAAAAGATACAACTTTACATCTTCTTTGATTAAAAACGTACTCATGATGTCTCTCCTTTGGAGCATATTATAGAAGTCAAAATCTGAAGATAGGAAGGGAGGGAAGGAGTACCTGGGCCATTTACTTCCACTATATCTACCACCCAGGTGGAGTTGTATCGTGCATACTACTTTAAGATGCAAAAGACCAAAGTACTCTTTTCCAAAATGTGAGAAATCTTCAGCATGATTGTATAAAAGCATACAAATTGAAGTACCCTGGAAGATGCTTGTGGGTTATTAACCCTGTATCAAGTGATTTACATAAAGACTCCATTTGAAACAAAGAAGGGCGGCGTCACTAGAAACTTGCTTTACAGAATTGTCATCTTCATCTACAAAAACTAAAAGCTCACTTTCATGTATTCAAAGGTTCATTTAATGTCAAAGATTATGTAGAGAAATAATATACACACCCTTATAAATTTAACAAAATAGTACATTTCATGAATAACACTAAAAAAGAAGCAACTCTCATGTAAATCACTTTTTTCGCTTCATAATTCTAAGGTAAAGTCACTTTCATATATTATTATCATTTTATGAAATCTGCAACCTTACCCCATTTACGTACTCCATGGAGCAATCTTGTATGCTATACTGCAAGTTGGACAAATCTCTCTAAAAAAAAAAACCCAACCCAATAGAACTGTACTAATTAGGAGCATAAATCATGCACTTGAATAAAAAATAAACCAAAAAAAAACATGACCACCCTTACTGCAGTTCTCTATGTATTATTTACAGAACAATTACCTTCATGTCTGTGCCAATGTGAGGTCTGTGCCCAAGTGCACCAAACGGGTAGGTCCCGTTAGCTGGGTTCAAGTCATCACGGCAGGAAATGGCATTCTCCGCAGAGTATGGAGGAGTGCAATTGCATCGAGACAGTGGGTCATTTTTGAAGTTGTTGTAGCTGTGGGATATGAAGAAAGATTGGATAAGATATGAGATGAAATGAGATGAGATGAGATGAAATGAGATGAGATAATACTCCGTTGTCCCAGTGGAAAATTTACAGTGGTTTTACAGGCAAGATTGACAAAAACATTTATATAGATATGCATACAATTTATATTTGAATACCAAGGCCCCAAGATCTGGAATGCTTTACCAAGTACGTTGAGAGAATTCAAATCTTTTGATTCATTCAAATGTCAGCTGAAGTCGTTTCTGTTTTTAAATTAATAAGATGAATATTTTGAATAATTTTCTTTAGTCAGAACACAACGTTTCATGTTACTGTTGTATGTTGTACTGTATTGTAAAGCGCTCAGAGCCTGTGTACTTTATTCGGGGTTGAGCGCTATATAAATGTCATTTATTATTATTATTATATTGCATATTATTTTCAACAAAGATATTAACACCAACAGAACACTGCTTAAACTTTTATTGTAATCTTCTAGTGAGACTAATAATGTTTGCAAATTTTGAGCATAATCCACCAGCCTCCCCTCTTCAAATTCTCAAGGGATCCGCCTGTACGTCTTTTAATTTTCAGAGTGTACAGGATTATTTTTTAAAAGGCCTGTTGGCTAAAAGTTGAATAAATGAGCAATCATTTAAAATACGAAAAGGCGACAAACTTCCAGATTTTTAACACTTTTGACAAAGTGGTTCTTCTACATACCGCATGAGCTTAGTCATGGAGTCTAGGTCAGTGACTTTTGGAACATCTCGTTTGTAGATGAGTGCCCGTGGGTTTTTGTCGTACGTGAACCAATCGCCAAACTTCTTCACCAGTGGAGGCAGGCCGCTCTTGTTAAAGATATCAGGAAAATATCTGAAATAAGAAGGAAAAAAAAAAAGGTCAATAAATGAAAAGTATGTGAGTCCAATTGCAATAGTTTTTCCAATAATCAGAATTGGTATCTTCATATACGAGGGAATAAAAAGCTGAATTTCAGAAATGTTTGACACTTTTTTGACTAGATTGATAAGTGTCATGAGAGTCCAAACGCTCTTTCTTTAATCTTAATATGCACATCGTTGGCCAGTCAAACAATTCAATGAGAGTATTTTCTTTTTTAATTACAGACTCATGGAATAATTAATTCATTAAGGATCCCTCCAGTCAGAGTACAGTATAAAGTACACTTTCTCTAATAGGCACCATGATGTACAATACAAGATGAAATAACTTACGGGACATTGTAGCTTCCAAAGTAAGATTTCTCATAAAGGTAATCTGTGAGGTCAGCGTATTCAATTGTGCCTCTGCAAAAACAGTAAAAATGATTCAAAGGACATAGAAACTTAAATACTTCTAAAAAGATTAGATTTCACATATACATGCTACAAAAGATTCTCTGTTAGCAACAGTCTTGTGACATAACTTATTTGAAATCATTTTGACAATGTGCAATGTAGTATTAAAATGGGAACAGGCTCTAAAGTTTCACTAGAAAATAGAAGAAACACAAAAAGTATCTTAAATCTAATAACACAAAGAAATCATACGAGAGTCGTTTAACAGAGCCTTAATTGCAGCCCAATAAAGATGTGTACACATGATTTTTTTTTAAAAAGCATGTACACATAAAACTATCTCCAACATAGCAAAAGGTTCTTGTTGTCCAATTTGTGCTAAAGGAAATTCAAGTCACAATTGTCTAAGTTATATTTTGAAGACAAATGGAGGAACAATTTTTTAAACAATATGTAGAAGGTATGTAATAACCGTAGATATAACATGGATAATGTCAAGCACACTCAGAAAGATAAGTGGTATAACGTCTAAACTTATCCATCCAAGCTGTAGATCGTTGTGAGTTTGTATTTGCAAATGTGCATATGTACGTATATGTGTATGTGTGTATGTATGAGTGTATGTGTGTGTGGTGCGTGCGTGCATGCGTGAGTATGTGTGGGCACGCGTATGTAACACTATGTGCCTTTAAAATTGATTTGTAAATCCATAATGTGTATCAAGTTAAGCGCATAGAGCATTGCATAAGTGGATATGCACTATATAAATGCAATCCATTATTATTATTATTATTAAACTTACGGAATTTGTTCAATGAGATAAAATGTTCCTGGAACTCCGGTCTCTCGAGAAGGTACAAATCTTTTATAGTCCACAATCATCCACTGGTTGTTGTATCTACAGACAAATGGTAAGACAATACAGATCATTACCAATTTAAACATCTCAACAACAAAAAACAACCACAAAAACCCATCTACAATGCTCACCAACTTAATCCAGCAGAACCCACGTAAGTCATCCACAGTGGTTGTATCATATCTTCACTTTATAAACAAAGCTTTTCCTAGTCTGTTTTACAAAGCAACAAAAAAGTTAATCTCTTACCAGTGAAACAAATACAAACACTACATATCATACTCCATAATGTAATACATTACAGTTGTTATCATTCCATATCATATTCCGATCTAAACGATAAAAATCTGCTACTGTACCAAAGTACAACAGCAACACTAACATCCTGCTGATAAAGTCAGGAAAAAACTACTCTTCTACTGAGAGGCAACTCTGTTTTGAAAAGGTACAAAAGGATCTAAAAGAGATTTATAGACGTTTTATACAATGGAAGAAAAGAAATTTCATGCCTTTGTCACATAAAACAGCACACATAACTTCTGCACCACTATGATATAAACAAGTAAACACTCTAAAACCACTCCTGCATAAAACAGCAGACAGAATTCCATACTCATATTATTACTGCAGTAAAACAGGACCAAAAAATTACATGTTTTCTTTGGATAAGATATAAGTTTAGATTTATTAAAAGTTGTACAGAATTTCCAACACAGCTAGGTCTTATAAGTGTAAAAAGATATGAGGTGCTACTAAAGAATGACACACGAAGAAAAGAAGGAGGAGAGATTAAAAAGATGCATGTTGGATAAGAAAGAAGGAGCAAACCACACCAGACCACCCTTCAACCATATCATCCATCTTTGGATAAGGTAGAATTAACAAAGTATACAAATTCACAGGATGAAACAGCACAACTTACGTGCCACTGTTGTACTGGGCAAACAGCTTCGACCAATCCAGGCCAGATGAAGCCAGCCTATTGGCCACCATACTGCGGAATCCTTCCATCACCGCCTCGGATGTAATGTACTTTACCAGCTCCGCATTGGAGAATCCGATGGTGGTTTCCTGACTGACCTGAAAACATAGTTTTAAAGTTGACTAAAAAGAAGAGCAAAACACGGTCAGTTTACACAAAACTTCACTGTCAAAGCACTACTAAATGCTTATTTCAATTTTTACTGTGTCTATAATAAAGTACAGGATTAACGCACACCAAAAACAAAACCAACAAAAAAAAAGCAAAAAAGCGAAGAAGAAAACTTTCTCTTTTGGTTTTCTTTGTGCATGTACATATAAAAAACCACTGATTCAAAGCATCCTTAAATTGTGTGCAAATATAAATGCACGTAACAACTTCTATTTTTTTCCTTTTTAATCCTCAACTAGCTCCCAACCCACCGTGCATGCAACTGGCTTTTACTTTTTCTTTTCATACAGAGTCTGTTACCCTTTATTCAATAAACCTGACAATGGCCAGACAGAAACGGAATTAAAGAAAAAAAAATTGAATTTTATGCAAATCCGATCCGGGCTCTTCAACAAGTTAAAAAGAAACTAGAGACCTACAATTTTGTCGGAGTACTTGGCAGGTCTACTCTTGGTCCACAGACCAAAGAATCTATACTTGGGACATTAGAAGCTTACCAGTCCAGAGGAGATAGCATAGAAATCGTCTCCAGACATCAGAGGTCCTGGGTATGAGGAGAAGGTCATTGTATTACCAGGCGCCAGCTCTGAGGAAGAGAGTATAAAATAATATCCATGAAAAGTTATTTATAAAGGAATATCCATTAAAAAAATACTATCCATGAAAATCAATTATAAAATAATACCCACAAAAATAATGTATAAAATAATATTCATGTTCATTATTTATAAAATAATATCCATGAAAAATTATGTATAAAGTAACATCCATGAAAATTATGTATAAAATAATATCCACATAAAAATATGTACATATCGCAATGTCTGCACAAGAGCACGACATTTTTGTAGGAGTAAATGACATAACATCTGTGTAAGTGGACATCACAATCAAAATTGTCCGTGACAGCCACCCATCATCGAGGAGAAAAGTGGTTGTCTTACTACAGAGGTGGGTATCTTGGACAGTGTCATTAGAATGTAGGAAAAATGCAAGGGGGAGTGGGAAGTGGTCCTTTATGCACTTTATGCAGGTGATTGTCTTGCAGAGGTGGCCATTAGAGCAGAATTAACTTATCTTAGCAGTATGTAGAAACATTTTTAAATAAGAAACAAAACCAAAGAAAAGGATAATAGTAGAGTCGGAGTACATGTCATAGCATCAGTACAAGTTGAAAAAGTTTGTGTCTTTCGAAACAGAACATTTGCTTAAGATTACAAAACAATAATATAGGGCCTAGGTGAAGTAAGCATACAAAATGTTAGGTTTAAGAATGTAACATTTGCATCTGGCAACGTGATAATAACAAAGCAGAAAAAGACTATTGTATAAAGTACATTGACCATGTCACACAACAAACATGAGGGCACGAGAAACAAACACCACTAAAGAGGACATGCAATTTAATCTATTCAACAATGAATTAATAATTAGTGAGGGGTGCTGACAAAATGAGTTATTCTACTTCTCGCAATTCATGAATGGAAATATCAGCTAAAAATCGACATAATGGTCAAATTTGTAGATTTTCAACCAATGACATTTTTTTTCAAGTTAAGGATGTCTTTTATAATTTCATACTTATAAATTATACAATCTCAATTTAACCTATCAATTTCCATTGGGCTAAACTACAAGAAGTAACTAACTTTGTCAGCAGGCCTCACATTTGCTCAAAATAGTTTCCTCGCTGGTTTAGTCATTTTGTCTAAATTGTGTTTTCTAACTGACCTTTACTACCAGCAGTCATGTGTAGCTCAAAAGAGTAGCGCTTCAGAATCCTCAGCATGGAAGACAGGTCGCTCCACGTGTCCTGAGACACATACAGGTCTGTGTTGCCAGGAAGTAGACGGAGCAGAGCTGAGCAGCGACCAGGCCCAAAACTCAGAGATGGGTCAACGTTCTCCTTCGTCAACTGTTCTGAGCTGTCGGGGAAGAGATTGGACAGATCCTCCATGTCCCCGCCCACCTGCCACATGCTGTGAAAAGAGTTATAAAACAAACAGTTACAATTGCTTTTAGTTTGAGCAAAGAGTAACACGTCAACATGATAAATGTCGATTAAACATGTGTAAAAGGTCTTTAAAAAATCACACAGTAACTTACTACACGCCAAGGACATCAATGTCTGTGTTCAGCTTGCCAGGGTAATTGGAGTATCCATCCTGAAGGCCAGCCATCTGCTCCAGATAGAGTTGAACCTGCAACCAGAGGAGAAAAAAAAAGACGAAAATGTTATGCAGTTGGTAATCAATGACCACAGCTCTAAAAACAAATTAACAATCAATCTAGAAAAAAATCTCACCCATGATAATCGCTGCAAACTCATTTAATTCTTTTTCCCCCAAACTTCAGAGATATTGCTAAAAACTGAACTGAGTTTTTCTATAGATATTATCAGTATCATTGTCTTGCTGCATATCATAAGAGAATTAATGGAAGATTTAATGAAGAGCTTCCACAGTACATAACATTAAGCTTTTTGATGCAAGACCAGCAAAGAAAACCAAAACAACAAAACAAAACATTACAGTAATGTTTTTCTCAGCCTAATTTTAACGTTTAAAAGGATTGGATCTATAAAAAAAAAATGTTTAACATGAGCACATTTGTTTTTTTTGCTCATGTTTTGGGGTTCTGGACAAACCCTGAATATTGTGCATTAGGTAGGGGTCATTGTGTACCACTGAAACGCAGAAACGGAAAAAAAATTTAACTCAAGCAACTATTTTTAAAAAACAACTCAACAGCATTAATCATAATTGAAAGGTAGTACAAAAAATACTCACATGATACCAATAAGGATCATCAGCAGCCTGAGATTTGATCTGAGCCTTCATCCACTCAAGATTTTTCTCAAAAAAACCCTTGAGGCCTTTACACTTCAAAGACAATGGCTCGGGACAAAAGCCTGCTACTGTGTTAATCCAGTGCATTTCCATTAGGGGTCTGAAAAAAGGAAAAAAGTGCATGAACCAGACTATGCTTTCCCTGAATATGACATACATGCATTTCTTTCCAATCAAATTCATTCCAAATAGAGGGAAAAACAAAAAAAGGAAAAGAGAGGTTATTTCAAGAAAGAAGGTAGAGCATTGAAGCTAGTAAACACACACACACACACAAAATAGAAAAATGAAAGGTCAATGATGATCTAATGATTTTTCAAATACTCATAGCCCAAAATGTACACAATAGTAAGCACTTCTCAGCAAACGCATTAGACAGAACACACTTCTAGACATCTGATATTAATAAGGGAAAGAAAGAAGCTATATTGTACTAAAAGAAAGTAGGCTATAAACCAAAGAACAGATTCGAAAAGAGTAGCATGGTCATGTGCCACAACATTTTGAAAAGGGAAAAATAAAAAGAAGAATTATTAAAGTATACATACCGTGTGATGTGACCTTCGACGAACCCAGCAGCATATGCTTGCATGCTGTCGCTGTAGGCTTGTTTCCCGCCAGATGTTGTGGTTACATCCAGTTTGGCCCATCTGAAATTTAGCAAAATTCAGAAAAGTAAGCTGCCAGTTTCAGGTTCCCCATGACATAGCTACTGCCTACAGTTTTTTTCAGCAGACGACTTAAATTCTCAATTTTCCTGATTTTCACTTAAATTTGCATATTGAAGTCTTCCATGAAATGTTAAATGGGCTGATGCTGCATTGGAATATGTGACACTAAGCAACTTAAAGTGCAAATTCAAAACTTTTGCAAAATATGAAATGGCCAAAATGTGAAAGAAAAAACCTTCTGTTTTCAGCATAAACTCATAAAATTTCCAGCAAACTGAGGCAATGCTAGTAAAATGTAAGCACAGAAAGAAGAAATGGCAATGGATGCAAACCATCTAGGGAAAGAATTATAGTTAACCTTTTGTTAGGACAATAAAAATTTCAACGCAAGAGGAAAAGATTATTTATGATTAAGTAGTAAAAACTAAAAGAAGTAGATAGAGAAGATCACATCAAAGTGCCAGTTGGATTCACAAATAAGCTGAGATAGACAGAAAGAGAGAGCATAGAGACACTTGTAGGAAGACAAAAAGAGATCAGGAAGACACAAATTTGAAATGTTTCAAAAAGTGTTCCATGAGCACACAAAAAAGCATAATATCACACACAGCTGCAAGACAAGATGCTTTGTTTGGGGGTTTTTTTGCTACAAAACCTGTAAAGCAGAATCAAACAGATCTGCTCTTTTCTTCAGCAACAAGAACAGTAACAAAGATAAAGTCCAGAAGTTTTTCATTCATAAACATATCCAGTTTCAGAGTGTTCAGAGATCATATTTTCAGCCAAAAAATTGAGCCCAGGCTTTTGTTCTATCTTTACATTACCAATTTTACACTTCCTCTCCGATGCCCATCAGTACCAGAAGAGAGTGACCTAGTGGTACACCCTGGCTCATTGCACTTTGTTTCACTCCACAAATTATACTCTTGAGCGCAGCTTGGCACTGCTGGACACACTGAGAGAGGGGAGTCAGATTTGCATCGTTTTTTTTTTACTGGGTGGGATGTTTGCAAATTCTTTTTGATGATGATAGATTAATTCAGTAAGCTTTTCAAAGCAAGGCTCCAAAATCCAGACTGTATTATTTGAAGTTTACAAATAACACAGAACAAACTAAGATCAAACAAAAAATAATAATTTTCAAAGGATTGTCAAAGAAAAAGAAAAGCAAATTTAAAAATTAAGCGTTTCAAAAGATTAATTAATTTGTTACTAGTAAATAAAATAAAACTTTCAAAAAAAAGAAAAACCCACAAGTGCCTCAGTATAGTACCACAGAATTCATTACTCACGACCCCACTAACGTCCCCCCCCCCTCCCCCCCCCCGTCCAACCGAACCAGATTCTTCTGAACTAAAGCCTATTTCCATCTCTGTGCCAAGATAACTGAAAGCTGTGAACCGCCGCAGTCAAGGCTTTAATCATTAAGAACTATATCTCTGAAGACTGTACAGTTAACAAAGCATAATCCACACTTCTGATCAGTGATGAAAGATAATGGTATCAGGCATCTATCAGCAATTATGTCTCCTTCAGAAGGCATAGAAATCATTGATTAGACTCTAATCTGAAGAGTACATTTGACACCTATGCTGATAATGGATCCCATAAATTGCAACATCGTTTAAATTTGGTGGTCAAAACAGCACTACTCGGGTAGGTGTGAAGGAGAAATGTGTAATCAATAAACAAAAGTGCTAAAATGAGATATATCTCACAAAAGTTTATCCATTCTGGATAAGGGTATTCATTTTATTAGATTTAATCAGTAGAAGTGTATAGTCACAGTGAGTCGGGATTGTCCGCACCAATTGATGTTTCGTACAAAAAGCAGGTAAAGAGGAGAAAACATTGGGGGCAGGGGGTTTAAGTTTTCAAGCTGATCGATAATAAATCAACAAATAAGGGTTAATAGTTTTAGGGAGTGAAGGTAAGGCATATTTTTATGTAGGGCGGACAATGAATCAGATGATCAATTTTGTTTTAAGACTGGCCAGTGATCATGAACAACAATCAACAGGAAAACATTCCTATCACGGTGACATTAGTGACTTCCAAGGATTACAACGTAGGCAGACCTGACACACTATGAAATCTAGAAATCAGGATCTCTAGGGGAAAAAAATCAGGATCTGGTGAAAAGAATCAGGATCAACAACAAAGTAACAGCAGAACTAAGAATAACATTGATTATTTGTATTCGCAATTGTAACAGTTATCAGGCCATCATCGGTGAATTCTGAGAGGTAACAAAAGCAAATGTAGATCTTGAGAATGTCCCAAGTCAGAATGCCAAATCGATAGTTGAAATTATAACACTTGCGAGCAAAGATCCAACATAATCTGGGGCGAGTCAACTACTAAATGCGGCATCAAAATTTCTTAAAATAATGCTCTGAGTTCCTACTGACAAAAAGAGGTGCTCCCCACGACACAATAATTTTTTTTTTAAATCTGATGCAACAGACATAAAAAAAAAATCTGGATGATCGCAATCAGGGTGCTCAAGATTTGAGGCATAAAAAAATCAGGATATCCCGGTTAAATCAGGAAGAGTGGCAGGTCTGTGTAGGTCACAGATCGAGGTTTACGCGTTAATATTCCATTCGAAAAATGAGTTTTTTAGTCGGGCGCAGGCATACAGACCTGACAATAGAGATATCATCACCGTCATTCATCATTGTCGTAAGTCAAAATTCGATGTTTTCAGGAAAAGCAAACAACCATTATTTCAGGAAGGACATTGGTAGTAGCAGTTTGGTAAAAGTTTTACTGCACTTGCAAGTGCAGGACATTATCTTGATAAAAAGAAAAGAAACTTGAACAAATCAAAATCCAAAGTTAGAGATTTTTCAGAGTCTTTGTAGTGTAGTGTTTAAATAATACAACCTAACACAACTATTATTCACCCACCATTCCATCCCCCCAAACCACTGGCCGTACATAACATCACACATCTGTCTCTGATACCTTATTCTGAACTCAAAATTAAGCAAAGTTGTCAAGTCAAGAAACAGGGAGAGTATTGCACTTCCAGGCTGCCATATATTTACCCCCTACTCCCTCCCCCCCCCTCCCCTTATCAAACCTAGGTCACTCAGCGCAATGGTTGAGAATTCCCGCAAAACAGGACCCCAGGCACTGTGATTGACAAGTGTGTATACAGTCAAACCTGTGTAAGACGGCAACCCATTGTCAAAGAGAAAAGTGGCCGTATAAGTATAAGACAGGTGGCCGTCTTAGGCAGGACTGGTCAAGATGAAGAAAACAAACCATTCCCATCTGAGGTCCCAATCGAAAGTAGCCGCATTGTTGTTGTTTTTGGTTTGTAAGTATTTTGTTTGTAAATTGTATTTTGTTGCTGATTTTGCACAAGGGTGACAATAAAACGAAATGTATCAGACGAGGAAGACTGAGTGTCATGTTAAAACAAACACATGGGTCGCCACCACCCGGAGAACGAG